AACAAAATCTGGGTCCTCTGCAAGAGCAACAAGTGCTCTTTACAGTTGTGCTTTCTCTGCAGCCCCAATAACTAGACAAGTTACCAAGTTAGGCTTTACAACACCACATGGATACATTTAACTAGTTAGAATGCCCAGGAGAGGCACAAAGGTTTTAACAGCTAAATGAAAATTGAAAGCTGCCTTCAGTCCCAAGTTAGCCTTAGTGACTATTTCCACGGGTAAAGTAAGTATCCGACCCAAAGCACTGCTGGAGTCTGCCCAACGTTTACATAAACTATTCCTTTCATCTCTGCTTTTATCGTTATTTTATCTTAGAGTTCTCACTTCTGACTTGAAGATCGACTTTCTCATTCCTGTTTTTCTATTCTATGGACATATACAGCCTGGGAAAGGGGATTACAAACTGTTTTCTCTCTGAAACAGCAAACGTGCACACAGCCTGCATGTGTGTGCTTATCTATCAGGAATCTACATCGACGGGAGGTGGGGCAGTACACATCCAGAGCCTTCCTTGGGGCAACGTTATGGCTCTAAGTTCTACAGCTTCTCCACGCTAGAGGGTTTTGTTTTCTCCAGTTCTTTAAGTAACTGTTGTCAACTTCAGTTTCCCCACCCAATTGTTGGGAAATTAAACACCAACTAACTTTGATAACTAGAACTTATTTTTGGATTTCCTGATTACATTAATCAGACTTTTAATTAAATTCTCTTTGGCAAACTCACCAAATGTAAAGGTGTTTTTCAGTATAAGCTGAAAAAGGTAAGCTTATCTACTTCTACGTCAGGTATTGGCACGATCTTGTTTCTTCTAAGTAATTAGTTTCTACAGAATCATTTGGCGAATTCCTTCCCAGTCCCAAAGGTCTGCCTATTCCTCTGGTTTCTTCTCCTCCTGCCTCAGGTGTACTTTATTATGCATTTCTGCCTTGTTATGGTCTATGCCAATTTTGATTTTTTAGTATCTACCCTGACCCCTCTGACTATTCAGGCTCAACAGCTTTCTCCTACACTGTAGTTCTCCTAGACCAACACGGAAATCCGTACCAGTATCCTAACAGGTTTATTTGTATTGTGTAAATATGCATTCAAAGCAAAGCTCTTTCCCCTACCTCAACAAAACTCAACTTTTGTATCTCTAACTTAAATTGAACATAGAAATCATTTTGATGACAGAAGCTGTCCCTTCCCGTTTATAATTCCGCCCTAGTTTTATGATACAGTCACCAAATCTTGTTTCTTAGTGTCTTGCAGGTCAGCTCAGTGCCTACCTACCACCATCTCTCCTTTGAATGGTAAGCAGCTTCCTCCTGACTCATGTATTCCCACACTAACTTCACAGTGGAGTTTCCCTAGATAACTCCACTTCTTTGCCTAAAAATGTAAGACACTGCCCATGGTCTAGAGAAACAATTCTAATCCTTCTTCTTTCTGGTTTTCTGTTCCTCTTCCGTTGCCATCTCCCGTACCTATTCTATGCTTCCACCATATACAGTGCTTGTCACGTGGTACCTATATCCATGTCGATCACTTCTGCCTTCTATTCACTTCTATACCACCTAACCACCTCCGCTTATTAGAGATCCATTTAAATGCTACTTCCTGTTTTCCCGCACCTCTCTATACTGAAATTTAAAGTCCTTACTTTTTTATTCCCATTTTTGTGTTTATGAATATGCATGTTTGCATATGTTTGGGTACACATGAATGTTGAGTCCCAGGGTTGATGTCAGGAATCAATCTCAATCCCTCTTCGTACTTTATTTATTTATTTATTTATTTTTTTGGTTTTTCGAGACAGGGTTTCTCTGTGTAGCTTTGCGCCTTTCCTGGATCTCGCGCTGTAGACCAGGCTGGCCTCGAACTCACAGAGATCCGCCTGCCTCTGCCTCCCGAGTGCTGGGATTAAAGGCGTGCGCCACCACCGCCCGGCCGTACTTTATTTAATGAGACAAGGTTTCTGAATCAAGCCTAGAGTTCCCACTTCAGTAATCAGACATTTCGGCTTCCGACTTGGCTTCAAATGCAGAGAAATCTCGAGGGAAATGTGTGAGAACTCGGATTTCCAGGGCTAGGGTTCTAACTCTACAGTGCGTCACACCTCACACTGCAACAGGTCAATACCATAAAGGCACCGGGCTGCAAAGCCAGTCGCAGGGACTACCTCTTCTTTCCTGAGCATCTGAGCTGCCAGGAGGGAAGGGGAGGCAACTAAGAACCTTAATAACTTCTGATGACTGATGGGCAGAGCACTGTGTCAAGGGAGGCCTGCAGAGCCTGAGGTCGGGAATGCAGATGGCTTCCAAACCCGCTGCAGCCAGAGGCTTACCGTGCAGCAAGGATTCCGTGTCCCGCAACTCCCGCTCCTTCTCGCTGAGCAGCCGGGCTGCCGCTGCCAGCTGAGGTCCTCCGGCGTCCAGCCCCCCGGTCTCCGAGCCTGCACGGCGCTCCAGGAAGGCCCGTAGGGGCCCTTCGCGGGCAAAGAGCTCCTCGGGCGGCGGGGTAGTGCGGCTGAGGCCACGGAAGGCCCACAGGCGTCGGGCACCGCTCAGAAACCCGCTCCGCATCCTGGCGGAGCGCACTCCGTAGCCGAACCAAGCAAGGCTCTCTAAAGGATTCGGCTCCAAGTCCTCTAGGACTGCCTTTAAAAGTTCTGCCGGAAATGATGAGAGGACTTCCGGCAAGGCGTGGGAAAGCCGCTAGGTGTCCTAAAGCCAAAAGGTGAAGGGGCGGGGCGATCATGAGGCGTTTGCCCCGCCTCCAGCCCGAGCGCTGACTCCTGGGCCCCGCCTCGGATGACGGGGCTCCACCCCCTCGGCCCCGTCTCCAAGGGGACGCGGGGAAAGCCCCGGTGCCTCGGCCTAATCTCCGGGAGGAGAGGGGGAGCGCCAATGCCTCGGCACCACCTCCGAGGGCCTCCGCTTCCTCGGCCCGGCCCCCAGGGGTGGGGCTCCAATGTGCCTCCATCTCCGGCGCAGGGGCTCCCCAAGGCCTCGGCCCCACCTCCGGGGGTGGGGAGAAAACCTCGAAACCTTAGCCCCGCCTCCAAGGGGGAAGCTCCGACGCCTCGGCCTGGCCTCCATCTCCAGGGGAGGGAAGGGAGCGTCAAGGCCTCGGCCCCGCCTCTAGGGGAGGAGCTCCACTGCCTCGGCCCCGCCTCTGGGGGAGGAGCTCCACCGCCTCGGCCCCGCCTCTGGGGGAGGAGCTCCACCGCCTCGGCCCCGCCTCTGGGGGAGGAGCTCCACCGCCTCGGCCCCGCCTCTAGGGAGGGACCTCCACCGCCTCGGCCCCGTCTCTTGGGGGCGAGCTCCGCCGCCTCAGCCTAGTTTCCATGGGCGGAGACCCGCCGTCTTAGATCGATCTCCAGAGGGCGAGCTCCACTGCCTAGGCTGAATTTCGGGGAGGCAGGGGTAGCGCCAACGCCTCGGCCACGCCCCCTGGGGGAGGGGCTCCAAAGCCTCAGCTCCGCCTCCAGGCGGAACTCAGATGCCTCGGCCCCGCCTCCAGTCGAGGCTCAGGCCTCGGCCCCGCTCCCAAGCTTGCTCGGAAACCTTGACCCCGCCTCCGGGCTGAGTTGTAAGGCTGGCCAGTTCTAGGGATGGCCAGGCCAGGCCTGCAGCAACTTCTCTGCTATTTGAAAGTGAGGGTTTGCTTCCCAAGTCTGCGTGGGGACTTGAAGAGCCATGAAGATAGTCAAGTGCCCTGCAGGCTCAGAGATCACAGCCACGGAAGTCATTTGTCCCCAGTCTCTAAGAGTGAATTTTAGGATGGTCATCCGTGTTTTCTCCTCTTCTTTTTCCTGCTTTTATTTGTCTGACAGATGAGTTAGGTTCCTTCCCAAGACAGGTGTAACCTACTACGACCTCCAAGTGATGCTAACAAAATGTATCTGTTTTCCTGTCGTCACCTACACATCATTCCCCAGCTTTCTCACGATTTCCTGTCTCACGTTCGGGTCCATTTCAGTCCAATTCTCTATTGCTCTTTCACTATGCTCTTGCTCCGCTCCCCCACAAATCCATGTTAAAACTAACAAAATACAACACAAGGAAGCCTTCAAAAACCTGCTTTCCTTCTGCTCTGAAATTTTTCCTCACAGGGGGAGTACTCACTTAGCTTGCTCAAGGCTCAGTCTCCAGCCTTACAATGAAAAGTATCAAAGGCCTGTCTCCGGTGTCCATCTCATCCTCCTAACTGCTAAATGATGCATTTGCAGCTTCGAAAGACTTAACCACAGCCCACAAGAGACGTGGATAACAGGGAGTGAATAAATACAGCCAAACCAGTCTTGGGAAAGCAGGGCTTGAAGCTCAGTGTATGAACTCTACAGGATTACTAGCTGTTTTTTTTTTTGGGGGGGTGTTGTTTTTTGTTTGTTTGTTTTTATGGTGGTGGTTCACTGCTGATCAAACTATCTTCATTGCAGAACAAAATGGTAAAGAATGGGTACTCTTAAAGTGAACTAATTAAAACTATTAATTACAAAATTCCCCCCAAAATCCTGAATTTTGCATCATATCTAATCAGTCCTTAGCATCAAATACACAGGTACTGAAGTGAAAAAATAAAGTGGCCCTTCAAACAACAGCAAGCAATTCCAGTACCTCAAATTTCCCTTATCCTTGTGTATTCAAGTGACACTATGTAAATGTTGAGTTGTAAGATGGAGGTTGAGACCAGTTTTATTGCTATTCTGACCTGAGTATAGAAAAGTAGTACCAGGTGGTTTTCTGTTAGGAAAACTTATTTCTAACACTAAACTCAATTTTGAAGTTATTTTTTTCTGCCATAGAAATTATGGTGAGAGTATTTTGAATTTAGTGTGAGAAATCCCTCCACTGCACTCTTCAAGATATCAGTTACTTCAAGAATATATTTTATTACTTATAAAAGGTACTCTAATGTCACATAACGATGTAAAGAATCCACCAGAAGTCATTATACTCATTTTATACTCAGATAGTGGTAGGCCAATGAGCAAACAATAACTTGTCTAAGGATACATGGAGAATTCTTTATTAATTCAAAACATTTTAAGAAAATCAGTGTAATGCATATGCATTTTACAATAATATCCATAAATCTCCACAATATAGTTAAATGAAAACACCTGTTATTTGATTTACTTTGAAAACTCAGATACACTTAGAGACTTCTGAGTTTTCTTACATTATTGTCATGCTCAAATCTATTACATGGTAAAAATTGTAGCACTTCCAGGAAGTCTATTATTGTACATAGGTAAATGATAAAATCTATTCAATGGAATAAAAATGCAGAAAAACAAACATCAAGAAAAGAATCTGGATTATCTATTCAGTTAAGAGTACCCACAGTTACTTCAGTATTATGAAATAGCCAAGCATGGTTACTCTTGCATTCATGTACCCAGAAACTTTTCGTGGTCCACTAATAAATATATTGGTGGAATACAAAATATGGAAATAGATTACTAAATAGAATGAGCATGGAAGTAAGAAATTGTACATGTTCAAGACGATAAATTTCACAGAATCAAATTCATGAAAATACTTTTTAGTATTTTGCGAACTCTTTAAAGTCAGACACAAGAAACACTGTGACGAACAGGCTAAAGCTAGAGGGGCAACATCAAGTCTTCCACACCACTTCAGCGTTGTATACATTGCTCAGTGGATGGTACACAGGAAAGCATTAAACACGAGTAATAAATAACCGCTTGCTACAATTAATGAGACTAAAATCTTCAAACCCAGCATGTGCGTAAGTTCTAGGTAAGTACACAGGGTGTGTCAGGGAGAGGGGAATCAGTTGCGCTTTTAAGTGAATATTCAAGCTAACACTGGTTTGGAATTTGACCCATGTCACTCCCTCACTCATCGCATGTTCTTTATAGTATTTGGTAGTAATCCTTTAAAAGAGCCTAGTATTTTGTGCTAAGAAGTCTGCCAAAATTGCTTTTGTTGGTTTGTTTTTCTTGCCCAGTGTAAACAGTCTGTTTCCTCCAAGACACCCTCTTGTGCGTGTGTATTACTTGACAGCAGAGAGGCTGCTCTGAACAGGATGCTTCAACCAGGCGATAGGTGAAAAACAACAACAACAACAAAGAGAAGCCCAAAGCAAGAGTCGTTAGCCTGCTGGCATGTGCCTTTGATATCCTGTAATAAACTTGGCACTCTTCGAGGATGGACAGGTGGCTCAGCAGTTAAGAGCACTTGCCGCTCTTGCAGAGGACCCTGATTCAGTTCCCAGCACACACATGGCGGGGGGGCAGGGGGAGCTCAAAACCATCTGTAGCTCCAATTCCTGGGGACTCTTTTGGCCTCTGAGGTGCTTCATGCATATGGTCACATATGTACATGTGGACAAAACACTCACACACATAAAATCAAAATAAATCTTTACAATAGCAAGACAAGAATAACACTATTCCTTCTAGAAAACAAAAACTCCTATCTAAACATACACACACACACACACACACCAAAAAACAAAACAACAACAACAAAAAACCTAGACAAATCCCAGCAGAGCGATGCTCTGCACAATAGAAGTCTGCTTCCTCTCAAAATTGTCAAGGTTCTGAAAGATACAAGAACACTTCTAGAAAGTCACAGCTGAAAGGAGCCACAGGCGAGGTAACAGCAAATGGTCACGTTGTTACCAGATGTAGGGGCAGAGAGAAGACATTGGGTAAAGCATCTGGTATTGGAGTGGAGTACAGACTCCATGAGTCAACATTACTCTTTAATTGTAACTAACGCTGTCACAGGTGTAGAGCACATGAGGCCATTCTGGACTGTCTTTGTGATCTTTCTATAAAGGCTGAAAATACTCTAAAATTTGATGAAACACGTAGCCACTGTTATCCGTCTTTCCACTCACAGTTTCATGATAGAATTGACAAAATCACACTACGATTAAAAAGATTGTTTTGTAATGGTGCTTTATGAAATTACATTTATCTCTATCATCCACTGACATACTTGGTATATTGGTAACTAACTTGATTTTTATATTATTCCTATCCTTGGGAATGTTGATTTTATTTCCTATGTCTCCATCTTTGAGTGTGTGTGTGTGTGTGTGTGTGTGTGTGTGTGTGTACGTTCATATTTAGATTTTGCAAATATGTTTCAAATAATAAACAAAGAAAGTAGAATAGAGAGCACAGGGAAAGTCGCTGGGTAATAAATGAGAACAAGATATTGCTGTGGGATGGTCTGTATGTCAAATTATTCTGATTGGTCAATAAATAAAACACTGATTGGCCAGTGGCTAGTCAGGAAGTATAGGCAGGACTAACAGAGAGGAGAAAAGAAAGAACAGGAAGGCGGAAGAAGTCACTGCCAGCCGCCACCATGACAAGCCACATGTGAAGATGCCAGTAAGCCACAAGCCATGTGGCAAGGTACAGATTTATGGAAATGGATTAATTTAAGCTGTAAGAACAGTTAGCAAGAAGATATAACAAAAACATCTGTATGAAAATGTTGTAATGAAACCCTTTTTTGTATGCTAACCTAAAAAATTTTAAAGGAAAAATTTGGGGGAAAATACATTAAAACGACATTGACTACAGACCTTCCTAAAAAATGTGACTATTACTGGCCTGCAGAACTCTGATAAATTATCATACGCAATACCATTGTTCCCATGACCATGCCACAATTAATATTCTTCCTGTTCAGATGAAGAGACAGACTCAGAAAGGACAGTGACTTTTCTACCATCTCTGGATACCACTTGAAATCAGTTTGGTCATTTCAAAAGGAGGTGTGCCCAAGCCTAAGACAATTTAATTATCAGTTTAAAACACGTATCTCTAACTATTTAAAAAGCTGAAATGCTGTAATGAGGATATAAATCAACAGAAAAATTTGCAGCAGAAAACATTTAGCACAAGACATGAGGGGGACTTGAACTTCAGTTTGTCCACATGACATTAAAATGTTGGTTATCGTTATCAGTACTTTTTGATAACTGCTTTCCCCAATGCAGAGCTTTTATCACAAGAATCGAATGAGTCCCCAGCCCCATCTGCCCAACTAAAGCAACACCCACTTCCTCAGTGTTCTCACTAGAAATGATGGTCTGGAATATTCACTTAAACTGATGGGGAAAACATGTCACTTATGGCTGTTTAGGACTATATCTGTAAGAGTAATATTTTTTTAAACATACACACAACCCAAAGTTTGCTGCTGGGAGCAATGATATTAAAATCTTGCAGATACATTCTGAAGTACGGTCTCAGATGTTTTAGTGGTAAATGTTGGCAGTTGTGGCAAGTGAAGAATTATTAAAATTATTACACGTGGGATACTCCTTTCTAAGGTTAGCATTGTATATTGACATTGTATATTTAAAAGCAGAAAAGAATACCCAAAGAGTCGATTTCCTTTGGAAATTGGTCATTAACTGGCAATCTAAATAGATAGGTAAGCCAATCTTTTGACATTCTTTCTTATTTCAAAATAATACATAAAGCATAAAGTATTCAAAATCTATGTTATGTCGGGTTCTAAGTATATCTGCTAGCTGTTTAAAAACAAATTGGTGGTTTTTCAAAAGGTTATTTTCCTATGATTTATTTTAAGTTCCTTCCATTTAAAAATCTTCACCAAAGCACCTGATTTTTTTTATTTGTTTTGAGTGTAGTTTCCACAATTACAATGTGACTTTTTCCAAGAAGGTTAAAAAATTATAGAGAAAAAAAAAAAGAATAGACTTAAATTAAGATTCAAGTATTATTTTAAACCAGCACAATAGGGAGAGACATGTATTTATTTTCAACAAATAAGCCTTTATCTAGTTCTATAGTCCTTTGACACTGAACTATCAAATAAATGTAGCACACACTTTATAGTAGGAGGCATTGGAGGGCACTTAACATCCCAGGCATGGCGACTCACTGTGAAAACTGGTTATATATAAATATTGTATGGATTTTTTAAAGACCATATTATAATTTTGACTTTTGCGTTTCACAATTTCAGTATCAAAATCCTGTTTTGCTCATATTCCTATGTGCCTTGTCATATTGTCAGAGCATCTGTGATAACCTTGGATAACATCATAATAAGCCAGAAAGAGAAGAGTCATCCATCCAGTGTTAGCATGTCTATTTGGAAGATCCACCTCTGAAGACCTCTGTTTTCAAGTCACCTCTGTATACATCATCTACATCACCTACTTTTCTTTCCATAATAGATACGCCTATAGATAGGTACTATAGAAAGTGCATTAACCTCTTCTGTGTATTAGCAGATTCTAACAACATACTAAGTTATCTTGGTAATTTAAAACACAAGGTGCTTCATTTTAAAGTGCTAGTATTTCCCCCAGGGAGCTATTTACTCACTAGGGATGAAATCAAAATTGAATAAAGCAAATGTTGTGCTCTTGAAATGGTGGCAGAGACACCAGTTGAGGGCTTTTGTTTGTTTATGATAGCTCTGTGATTTAAACTGAAGAAATCATACCGTACTATAAAAACCGGCATAGTTATAAGTCCACAGACACAACCTTCCAAACTTGAAACATTCTGGAATGCAATAAGGAACCCTCTCCCCTGAAACAGGAATTTAGCACAGAACTGCTCACACGGCCTGGCTAATGACACGGACTGTGCAAATGTGCTCTAGAACCTTCTCGAGGAAACTTCTTAACCAGGGCTCCAAAAAGACACAGCAACTTTGAAATGCAAACACGGCAAATGCCCAGCTTAGAGACGAAGCCTCGTTAAGGAGGCCCTTAACTTCTACATTTGGTAAAATATTAGCTGCACTGTCAGTCAGACAACTCACCTCATCGTCCAAGGCATCTTGTAAAGCTAACCCATGGGAGTAAGTCACCAGCGTCCACAGTAACAACAGGAATAGAAAGTCTACATCAGAAACAACTGTGCATGCAGGGAGTCAGAGTATATTACATATCTCCTGGTACGTGACCAGCTCATTGTGCCTCAAACACAGAAACACGTATGATGCCATACTATACATGTGTACACTCACAGGAGCATAATAAACATTAATCAAGAAAATAATTAAATGATTCAGAATGGTGGGACTTCACAATAGAGGCAACGATGCCCCTTTTAAGTTTTCTTGACTCTTTAGGAAAAAATAGGATTTTTTTTCTGTAAACATCTTCATAACTATCTTTTTCTCAACGTATTACTGAAGCTATTCAAAGAGTAAATATCTAGGTGACATGAATAAAGCACATCTTAAATACACTAACACTTTCAGAAAAAGAAACACAGGCATTTGTTAAAAGATGACGATTATAAATACTTTCTATCTGCACTTTAACTATGTGTTCATAAATAATGTATTTAAAAGTGCTGAACATGGTAGATAGTCAGCGACGCCAGTGTAAACAGAACGCTTTGTTTTCGACTCTGCAAATTGTTTTCAAAATCCCATTTCGTCAAACACTGCAACAGTTAAAATATTTGCATAGGGAATAGGTAATAGCCCTTTTAATCATAGCTCCTGAATTCTATATAAGTTAGAAAATCATACTCACTTAAAAAACAATTCTTGAAATGTTTTAAATTTATGGAAAAAGAAACATGATGCCAACCTTTCAAGTAAAATAAATTTAAAAAGAAAACTCCAAACTTTTCTTTTTAAAAAAATATGTTTAATAAATTAAAAAAATGAGAGGTAGTTAAAAAATGACAAATAAAACCTATAATTTAAATATCATCCTTAATATAAGGCCAGTATTCTCAGTGGATATAAATCTTTTTAAATCTTCCTTTTTTTTTTTTAGATTACTCAACATTATACTCATTGAGTTTAAGATTAAAAAAATAGTCTCCAGGGGATATTGATATTGAAAGATAAGACCTTGATATAAATATGACATTGATTGTAATTTTGGTTTTGTGCACAATACGACACTGTTCTGAAGGTCAGAAATACATGCCAGGGTCAGGTGAGTATTTCATGTAAAGAGTTAATGTAATTACAAAAAATAATATTGGCAGCTAAAATATTTAAGCACTGTACTGCCTTTTAATTGTGCATGAGGGTTAATTGTTTTTAACAATGTTAAAATAAATCTTTCTTGAGATACTACATGAAAACAGTTAAGGTCTGACGTTGGAGGTTTTCTTCTTCATAACCCTTTATAAAATGTTGCTTAGGAAAAACTTAAGCTTTTCACTGGATTATACGTTCAAGGCAAATATGCCACATGCCAGATGCAATTCCTCGAGATGTTTTCACAGTGCTACATGTAGGCATTCCTCACTAGATCTTTTGCTTTATAGTCCCAAACTGGATTAGCAAGCACATTATTGTTTTCTTGCTGACATACATAAGTTTACACGACTAATTTAGAACTGGAGAGCCATTCTTTAATAAATTAGTTATAGTATTGGACATTTGATATATACATAGACTCATTTCTTCTTGTATGAAATACCTAAAAACAGTATCACTCTTGTGTTTTTCAATGAGACAGGATATCTTCAGACGATTTTGTGCTTTTTAAAATTTTCTTATCACTATTAGGTTTTGTTGTTGTTGTTTTCTTTCTTTCTTTTCTTTTTTTTTAAACATAGCAAACTCTGCTGTAATGAAAATGCCAGAGTTTGGGCAGTGAACAACCAGAGGGCTCTCAAACTAAGATCCATCCACAGGCAGAGATGATCAGCTAACTTTTTCTTTCCATGTACAGAAAAATTGGCTTCAAAGTCCCTGTACTAAACATAGTATGTAGCATGGTTAAATGTCACTGTTACATGTTTAAAATAGCCTTTTTTTTTGTATCAGATTATGCTTAAAAATGCAAACCACAGCCAATTTGTTGGCAATTGTTTCTAAGAGACCATATTGCACAAAAGTCCTTAAATACAGATATAAGGTATGCTACTGATGAAATAGTACAGCTAAGTGGCAGACAAAGCAGTTGTACTTTGCACATGCGGCCTCTGGAGATGCACTAGGAGACTGCTCAGAGGACTAGGAACACAGTTTGCTTGCAAGGAGAACAAGTGTTGAATAAACAAACTTAATTTGGCAATTCACTGTCTCGTATAGACTTTTCTCCAAACAGAATCATGGGTAACCTCGATTAAAAATGGAGACAAAGACCCTCACGATTGTCTCTTGCCAGCAGCCCGAGGGTGCCAACCTGTAGTTCTCCAGGAACTCAATTTCTGGTGTCATTTAACTACTTATATTTCCCATCCCAGCCCTCTGAAATGATTTTTTTTTTTTGGCCTTTCCCATGAAAATTACGATTCAGAAGAAGAGTTGGCAGTACTTTCCACAAAGGCTTTGTAGATCTGCGAGTTCAAGAATCTTGGGAAAGAATCCCTGTGCATCAGGGTATAGATCTGGAGCTGGGCATCTTCATACATGTGAGGGCTCGGGTCCAGCAGGTTCTTGTTGATCACCTCCCTAACTCGAGAATCCAGGCTGACCTAAAATGGAACAACAACAGATTATGTCCGTGTAGTTTGCAAAGGACATCTCAGAGAGATTTCATAGATGAAGTCTGATACTCACGACCCCAGAGACTGTCCTTCAAAGGCTAAATAATGATTTGTGATTTCTTCCTTCTGATGTGGAATTAAACAACACCGAAGAAGAAGAAGAAGAAGAAGAAGAAGAAGAAGAAGAAGAAGAAGAAGAAGAAGAAGAAGAAGAAGAAAAGGAAGAAGAAGAGAGAGAAAAGAAAAGACCAATTTGGCTCACAGAGATCTTGGCTTCTTCGTGTTTATCTTCTCCATGTATTATTGAGTGCCAGTGCCAGAGAATAATCAGAATGTTATTCACCACCCCCTCCTTCCCTGTGATTGTTAGGGTGACTCTGTTGACAATTGGGTACAAATCTGAAGGCAGAAAAGAGTTCCCTGACCAAAATCAGCACACGTGTCATACATGGTACTTAATAGTTTCATATTCCAAAGGGTCTCACCAAGTGAAGGCAGGCGGGGCACAGACCATGAAAGAGCAGAGAAAAGCAGAAACAGAGGTAGCTGTACAGTCCTAATCAGGTGGCGCCATCTGGGAAACATCTTTAAAAGATCTCTACAGAGCAGAAACTAGGATAATGAAGTATCATATTTAATAAAAGAGTATTAGGAAGTCAGAATACTCAATAAAATTACCAATGCAGTGTTGCTTTAAAAATATACAGAAATTAAACTCAGAAAAAAAAAATCCAGTCATCCATCACATGCCACTATTACTGGGCAATTTACCTGGGACACAAAGGACATGTTAGGAAAGTAGGAACAGAAAAATAGCACTAAAGCCATGGTTAGGGGAACAGATCAAATGATCTATCCTAAAAGACCATATTAGAAATAAAACCTACAAATGTAGGAGGCTCCGATCCCCAGCCCAGCCAAAGGAGGAGGAGAAAAGAAAAACCGTACAGGAGACAAAAAAATCATCCAGAGTGTTGATTGCTTCCTACTGTGACCACGGTATTGTGGTGCATGGGTGACTGTCTCTTAACACACACAGCCTTTTGTGTTTATAGGCAAACACCTTGGCCTAAGCATGTTGTAAGGGCCTTGATTGTGGCTTCTTTTCTCCTTCACAGACAGGACTGTGTGTTGTCTGCACAGATCTCAGAATGAAGCTACGCAGATCTCATCATGTTCCTGAACTCAGCAGACACGTGTGTTAGATTGATGGATAATCCGAAGGGCAGCTTGCTAGATTTGTCAGGAAATGGAAGCCAGCAATTAGTTTCTGCAGTCTGAACTACCCAATTTATGCATAGAAAAACGTATCCATCCCTTAGCTGGACTGATTACACGTTCTCCTTTGTTGGGAATTCTCTTTTTAAACACACATTTTGTAAGTGAGCTCTTTACTTCTTTTGGCTTTTCCACGCCATATGAATTCACTGCCACCAACCCCTGTGGGTGGGTGGGGCCCCTTGTGAGCTTCAGAAGCAGGAGACAGAATAATCCCCAGAGCATGCAGGCTGGGGGAGGGGGAGGGACTCTAGGTTTGCTCCAAAAACTCCACCTCAGTGGTAACGTAGAAGGGCAATTGAGGATGATTCTTAATGAATGTGCAACTATATATATATATATAAAAATTTATGTGTGTGTGTGCACGCGCGCGCGGTGCGTGTGCGCAATAGAGCGCGTGCGCAATGGTGCGCGCGCGCGCGCGCGAGCACACACACACACACACACACACACAACACACACATTCCTGGGTAGGCTTCAGTGATTGGCTTTTTAGACAAATGACCCAGGGGACTCTCAGATACACGGCCTGAGCATCATGCTTTGGAAAGCATCACCCACTTCACAACATAGCGGCTTGCTTCTGCATGGCGTTAGTTCTGGAAAGCAAGTACCTGTCACAGACTGTGAGGCCAGCGATGAACGAATGAATGATCAAAGCACCCTGGGGAGACCCGGCCTTCAACGTGTCTAGGGCGACTCTGAACAGAAGCTCATTAACCTAGCCAGAGAGATCTAGGCACTCATGTTCTCAGAGTGGGCCCTTTAGAGCCGCCCTGGCCTCAGGTGCCCACCTCAGCGTTCTCTTACCTCTTTCGGCGATAGGATAGAAATGTAGTCCTCATAGATCATCCTGGCCTTCTCTTCAACCACTTTTTTGTTCTGTTCTTTCTTCAAGTCTTCGCAGGCTAGCCAGAAGAGGAGGTTCTCTTCGCTGTATTCTGTTCGGAGGAACTCTCTGAAAAGATTCCGTCCCGCAGGAGCCTTCATCATTTTGTCAAAATTTTGAGACCAGGACAAGACTTCCTCCGCAGTGGGGTCTTGGCTGCAGAGAGAGGGTGAAGAAGCCATTAGAAGCAGCAGCGTCCACGTCCACCTGCGAATGCTAGCAGGGAAAGGAGCCGGTGGTTGGAAATCCTTAGTCACGTGCTGCCCTCTAATGGCCGCGTCTCGCTACTCCGCCCGGCTTGATCTGGCAAGCCATCTGAGGGACTGTATCAGTCCTGAGCCTCGCTGGACAAAGGAACCCAGGGGTGCAAGAGGCAGGGATGGGAGCCACGGGTTAGAAGGGTTAGAACCGTAAGGAGTTATATACCCCAAGCCCATAGCTGTCGGACGGTCCTACGGAATCCTGCAAGGGGTGATGTTTCCGAGCAGTTTGTTGTAAATGGACGGGAACATTCTGGGAATAACTTTTCTCTCTACCCCAGTTGCATGGTCTAACCGTAAGAAAGAGCTGATTTTTCATTTCCAGGATCCATTTCTTATTATTGACACAACCTAAAATAAGAATACGTTTTGTGCCACACCAACTCCAGTGTCGTCCGTGTGACATAAACAATTATGTCTATAATAGCTGACGGGAGATACGTGTCCCACGGGACTAAGCTCCCTAAAGGTCCCTGACAGAGTGCCCGTGTTATGCCTCCCTCTCGAAGAAGACGTGCTTCACGGATCATGAGCTCCCTGGGGTTCTGTATAACTGCTTTTCTGATAATGTTCTAATTAATCTATGAAGCACAGCCAAAATTAATGAATGCTTGGGTTGCGAACTATGAAGGAAAGGGGAAGCTGGACATAGATCTTAATCAAATATAACAAAATAAACTATTTTTTTAAGACCCCAAGCCACTAGGTAAAAAAAGTATAATAGTTCAGGCACCTCTAGGGAATGAACACTCACCCACTAGGAATCCTTTAGGAATCCCAACTAAAATGATTTATGGTAAAAAAACAAAACAAAACAAAAAAAAACCGTTATCTCATAGGAGACAGATGGTGGGCCCCTCTGTTAAAAAAATTCAACATGAAAAACTTAAAGACTACAACCAAACCCCTTCCCCTTACAGGCATAAAAGTATAAGAGTCCATATTCCAACAGATAAAAAGATTTTATATTAAAAGAGATATGTAATAAAAAAACTAAAAAAAGACTTAGGGAGGATCTACAACATCCAAATTGGCTAAATGGGTCATAAAAACCAAAAAAAAAAATAAAGATACATAATAAACTAGAAAACGGCTGAGCTAAAGATAAAGGACACAGCTACAACCACAAAGAAGCCTACACAAGTCTAGGGACTGTACTAAGTTTAAAAAACACAGACTGCTTTTTGGGTCATAAAGTTCTTATGGGTGAAGGGATATGTCTAGCGCTGATTAATAACTGTGTGCTTGCTTTTATTTTTAAAGATGATGTGATTACATTATTGCCAAGCTCTCGTTGTTCCTTGTATGACTTGATAGATTTCTTTTCTATATATAAACTACTGATTTACAAAAGTAAAATTACAACAGATTCAAACCACTTGTAAATGTGTTGTCTGTCATTCACCGAATCCTTGCCTTCCTGACTACCCAAGCCGTGATTCTCCTACGGTCATGGTACCCCTGATGGGCCAGTCCATGACAGTTTTGTACACTTGTCACAAAATGCCCCCAAATGCTCAACGTATTCCTTAAAAAGCAGAGGACTTTTAGAAGAGTATGAAGGATTTTTCTGGACAACTGTTTACAATAAACACCACTACTTTATTGCCCAAACCACCAGGCACTGATCTATTTGCCCCCACACCAAAGAAGAAGAAGCACAAAGCTTGGAGATTTTTTACTTTTTATTTTATTTTATTTTTTAAAGACCAGCGGTGCATTTATTTGCATAAAGCCAAAGGTCAGACTTAAAATCCAAGCTAACAGCCATGAGGCTTACAGTTTCACACTGATTCGGTCTTGAAAAGGTCTTGGTTTTCTCTGCTTTCGAGGATGCTGCTCTCTTTCATGCTTCACTTACATCTTCAGTTTTCACAGAATCAGTATTAAGTCCAAGAAAGTCTTTTTTTTTTTTTTTTATGATGTACCGAACACACTGCAAAATCACATTTCTTTCATGTCGAATGTCTGGAGCCAGAAGCATTTCCAGGAGGTATGGGTGATGTGTTCTTGGTTCAAATAGCGTGTGGTAGTAACCTTTTTTCCTCTTAAGGGCTATCTTCCTGAAACCCATCCTCTGGCTCTCCCACTTGGCTCCTGCGACAATTCTACCAGCTATTTTAACATTTTGTCTTGGACTCTTAGGAGGACTGCTATGGAGAACATGGTTTTCTGTAGGAACATCTGCTTCAGTCTTGATAGGGATTTCTTCCAGTTCACTCTCTGACCCCGAAACACTTCCTGAGCTGCTCATCAGTGAACACAGTGCTGGTGTCTCCTCCTTAGGTACTACAGTCCTTTGTGGTTTCTCCTCCTTGTCAGACTCAGAGTCACTGCGTATCAAAGTACCGAGGGGGTCGGCGGATGGAGCTGCAGGCTTAGAACCTCTGGCACGATTGCCCAGGCCAATGGCTGCTCTCTGTCTAGCCCCACCATTTTTCCATCTATGATGTTTACCAGGACTTCTGATTTTTGCCATCTGGGAATGTCGGGACATGCCTTTCATTTTGCCATACTGTGTTGTTGTCAAGACTTCTCCTCTCTTTTCTTTTTCAAGCTGTAACTTTTTCTTTCTTTCAATGTTGGCCAGAGTTGGGGTAGTTTTTTCCTTCTTTCTTCCCTCCATCTTGCAGCCTCTTCTGGAGTGTCTAGCTTGATCTTCCTCATACCAGGAGCATGCATATTCTTCCAATGGAACTGGACAATCTTCTCATGTGCACTAAAGGAGCAATCTACCTCAGGGCATTTTGTATGTTCAGATATGTGTATGTCATATTTTTCTTGAATTTTAAAGCCACAATCACAGGTATCACAGAAAAAGTGGAAAACTGGTTCCTTTCTTTTCTTCTTTTTCTGTTTTCTGTTTTGGGGCAAACTGAAGTTATTGAGTTTTGCATCGTATGTTCGTGGAAAATAAGACTGTGTAACCGAAGTGTAGTAGTAGGACGTGGGATACGTAGGGAAACCATTAGGAGACAGCCCCCAGTACCAAGGCGGCGAGGCTTGGAAATTCCAGGCCGGCTGGCGGCTGAACTGAGGTTGTACATCCAGCGGAGGAGCCTGGGCATCGAAGGGAGGCTGCGCCGCGGGGAGAATCTGGGAGAATCTGAGCATCGAACAGGGGAAGCGCTCCAGAGAGAGGTTGAGTCTGCCTGTGGGGCTGTCCCATCTAAGGCTCAGACTCCGCCGCCGCTGGGGACAACAGAGGAGGCGGGGGGGGGGGGGGGGGGGGGGGGGGGGGGCAGCATGGCCCAGTACACCCAGTTGTCCTGCTGTGGGGCAGTTTCGCTGGGAGTCCCCAGCGTGGAAGTGGCTCTGCCATGCCACCTAGCAAGTGGAGAGCCCAGCGTGCAATTGTGACGCTAACATTAAACATCCTTTTTTAAAAATTTTTAAGATGATGCAGAATCTTAGTTTTTAACTCAAAATATATTTGGTTAGGAGGCGTATTATTTTACTTTTGTTAATTTTCACCAGGTATCTTAGATCGACTTGCAGCTGGCCCATAATATCTGAAGCTCTTCAGTCATTTACAGTATTAAATTTGGGGCTGGGGAGATGGTTCAATGGGTAAAGTGCTTTCTATGCACGAGAACCTGGGTTTGAATTCCCAGGACTCATGTAAAAGCCAGGGAAGGTGACGTGCTCCATGCCCCCAGCGCTTGGGGTAAGGGGTGGAGATAACCAGATGCCAGGGGCTCACAAGGAAGTAAATTTAGCAAAAATTTGAGCTTGAGGTTCAGTGAGAGACCCTGCTTTAAAAAAAGGTGTTGGGTGGGTGGGGTGGAGAGTGATAAAGGAAGTCACTTGCTGCTCACCTCTAATATCCACACATACACACATGGGAGAGCACACCCACACACATGTGCATATACACATCCACATAACATGGACATACACAAACAACACTATCAATAAAAAAATTAAATGTACAGCTGTTTAACATCACAGTGAAACTCATATTAACACTTGTATAAAAAGCAAAAAAGGATGCTTTATAATTATGTGAACCGTCAACTTATAATCAGGTTTTCTCCTCTAAAATTGCCTTTCAGTTTCTCATTTTGGAAAGACTTGGCTGAAGACTGTTCTGGCGGTTATAAAACCAGGAGCTGGCTGGGTGGCTGTTTTTAACTGGTTGATTTTGGTAATCCAGTGTGTGTGTATATGTGCATGTGCATACATGTGTGTGTGTGTGTGTGTGTGTGTGTGTGTGTGTGTGTGTGTGTGTGAGTTCATGTGCATGTGTGTGTGTGTGTGTGTGTCTTTGTGTGCATGCACAGGTGTGTGTATGTGGTGTCTAGATTCTTATACAATGAAGACAGATTTTAAAATATTTCCAGCCAAGAGAAGTAAAAGTCAGTAACGCGTGCAATAATCTTTGCTGAACTAACAGAGAAAGATAAACTGGGACAATGCTTGGCCTTGTAACACAGTTAATAGAAAAACCTGGTCAAAGCTATTTGCAGCCGTAAGATCTTCCAGGCCGAGTCGCCACTCACTTCATAGAACCACAAGAGATGCTGCCTTGGCTTGGGGTGCACACAAGTGCACACACTTACACCCAGAAGAGACTCCAGCCCGGCCTCCACACTCACCACTCCTCCAGGACCTGGATGCTCTCCATTTTTGTGGTGTGTGAGGGTCTCCCCGCAGCGTCTCCTCTTTCCTCATTCCTGACGGTGAGGCTGTAAAACGTAACACACTTCGTCAAGGGAATCGCAAAAAGCCAAAGGACAGTATCACTTTCTCAGGAGAAACAGATCACAGGAGATTTGACTGCCAGCCACGTGGGATGATTTAAAATGCAGGAAGAGGAATAACACTTTTATAGGATGGTGGTGAGTGAGAGTTGGTAAGTCTGTACCAACTTAAAAAAATCATAAAATCAATCAGAATCCTCACATGGGTATCATTATCTATTCTGATTTCATTATTACATAACTTAAATTACTTAAATTCTTTTACATAATTGTACCTTTATAACCTCAACATTGGACATGCTTTCATAGTTGACATATTGTTGTGTTACCTTTAAGAGTGGAGAGTCATTTTGATTTTTGCTTAGTTCTGTTGAGTTTTTCTCATTTATTTTCTCCCTATTAGTAGCTAAGAAGATAGAACACACCAGAAGCCAATACAGACTTAGATATCTTTGTAGCATCCTTCCCGTCAAGCCATAATTTTGTCAGCAATACCATCCTTTCTCCAGTCCCTAAAGTTTGAGCAACTGGATTGGGTTCTATGTCAGTCAGTCTCCAGGGTCTTGGGAGAGACAAGGAGACAATTTCAAGGATGTGGAGCAGGAGCCCACTGGGTGAGTGTGATGGTTACTTTTCCATTGTCATCTTGGCAGGGTCCAGAACCAGCTGGGAGATGGGACTCTGGCCATACCTATGGGGGAAATACTTTGACTATGTTCATTGATATGGGAAGACTAATTTTAATTGCGGGTGGGGCCATTCTTCAGCTAGAGGCCCTGGACCTTCTGAACACATTTGCATTCACCCCCTCTGTTTCCTTACTATGGGTGTGACTAGACAGTTGGCTCAAGCTCCTGCTAACTTGACCTCGCCACCATAAGGGACCGCACCTTGAACTGTGGGCTAAAATAAGCCCTCTTTCCCCTACGCTGCCTTCGTCTGTGTATTCTATCATGGCAACAGGAATCAAGCTGAGGCGGTAGAAGTGACATAGAGTGAGATCCTGGGAATTAGGAAAGCCCCATGTGCTGTATTAGAACAGTAAGAACTGCTAGATTAAGGTACACTGCAGCTTAACGGCGCCTTGGGGGTAGAGACCAGGGTCAAGGGGAAAACCAGAGATAGTGGGGGTGACCAGTAGATATTAAGGGAAGGTAGAATGCTTCCAGGACTTAGCTGGTTAAAGCGCCTGCCCGGGAGAGAGATGGTGGGAGGATGACTCAGTGGTCCTTCCTCAGTAGAAACTCAAGCTCCTGAGTTAATAACCTGATATTGCTATCCAGAAGATGATGGGCTTCATGAGACCCCATCAGAAGCAAATGAAGGTCCTATAACATCTCTTTCATCGGTTCATTCATTCGTGTACTACCAGAGGCAATGGAAGTTTTCTTTTGGTGACACCATTCTCTTTGCATTAATGTTATTATTATCCCCATTGTACAGGTGAGGAAAGTAGAGGTCAGAGTGGTCTGGTAAGTTGATCACAAACAGAGTGCTAGCTGTGTGGTAGGGCTAGAGTTTGAGCCCTATAACCTGCATTTTTACTGAGTGACTACTACATACACCAGGCCTTCTGTTAGGCATCTCCATCATAAACCACTAAATAGGGCTGTGGTAGAAAGGGAGGCTTTGGAGTTGAGGAGGTATCCATGAGTATTCTTCTCAGCCTAGAAAGTCTGGCTAGAGACTTTGAGACATGAGAGATGGTGTCTCATGAATACATTCTTGACTCTCAGGTTGTGGGAGGGGAAGATGGAGAGAATGCAGTGTAGAGAAGAATCTAAAGAATTCAGGTTCCACAGGATGGTGGTGGCAACCATCTTTAATCCCAGCACTCTGGAGGCAGAGGCAGGTGGATCTCTGCGAGTTTGAGGCCAGCCTGATCTACAGAGCAAGTTCCAGGACAGTCAGGGATACACAGAGAAAGCCTGTCTCGAAAACAAAGAAAGAAAGAAACAAACAGAATTCAGGTTCTTACCAATGAGGCCAAGCTACCTTTGAGTCTGACTAGGAGGATCCTTTAATTAAAAACACCATAAACCTCAAAGAAAAAAAAATTAATAGTGAAGTAAAGGACATTTTCCTCCTCCCTGTCTTGGGGGCGGTGGCAAGCTTGCTGGTATCGGAGCACAGGAGAATGTAAACCTCTGAGAAAAGTGGCATAGTCCAAAGAGTCCAGAAAGCCGCTGCTTCCAAGAGGCCCCAATACTGGCAACACTCCCAGGACTTGAACAGCGTAGGTTTCAGTGCAGCCGGGGGAGCGGGACTGAGAGACAGCCGTGGTGCCCAGTTTAGTCTCAGAGTGTTGGCACTGTGGATGTGCCTGATGCCCGAGGTAGCCTCGCAAACGGTAGCAAAGCCTTCGATACCTGCAATCCATTTAGGTATGGCATGTGTCATTCATGAGAGTCGTGGGTTACTCTTTGAGTGAAGGTGTTTCTCTGAAATTTGAGTGGGTGTCTGGGTGAGATACACTGCCGACATTATTCTGTCAAATTTTCCCCACATGTATCAAATATACACTTTTTGTGACTTTTATAAAAGCTCTTATTGAGATAGGAAGTCACTCATTTCCATACAGTGTCCCAGAGAATGTACCACACAAAACCCAGGTCACGGCTCATTTTCTGCAACATGTCTTAGAAATTTCTTTCCTCTGTGCCTCTGCTGTAGAGCGACCAATCTGGAGTCAATGTGCATGAATCATACGCTTCTGAGCATAATCCTGGCTCTTGTGTCTATTCCTGTGATGTTTACAAACATCTCAAATGCTAGCATATTAGAGCCATCAGCATAAAATATTGGATTGTGTTTACATCTCTCATTTCTACAGATGGTAAAATATGGACACACATTTGGACTAAATCTAGTTATGACAGGAATTCAGTAAATGCTTAACTGTTCACCATGGGTACCATTCTTAATTTCATACTGGGCACAGAATTAGCCTTCAATAAAAAAAAATTGAACATAAGCAGTGGTAGCCTAGGAAAATAGACAAGAATCCCCCAGAGACAGCTGGCTGGGTAAACTAGTCAAATGGGTGAGTTATGGGCTTGATTGAGAGACCCTGACGCAAAGAATAAGTTGGAAAGTAGATTTCTGACATTAATTTTGGGCTTCCATAAGTCTGTGCATGTGTGTGCTTCCTCATGCAAACACACACATACACAACACACACACACACACACACACACACACACACACACACACACACACACACACGCATCATGTAGAGATTGAGATGGAGAAAATGAGGAAGAAATTGTTGCTGGTCTGCCTGCCTGTCCGGATACTGACACATCTCTTATTTTCACTTTGTTGTGCTCTAAAGATTCATGGGCTTGGGCTGCTTTTAAAGGTAACAATATGGTTCATATTTACTCAAACTTCTCAGTGTTCTACATCTTTGAAAAGGTTAAAAAGGAAGACCCCAAACATAAGAGTTGTGAGTTCCCCAAAAGATGTGTGTGTTGTCAGTTTGACAGACTCTAGAATCAGTGGGAGATGGGGCCCTGGGCATGCCTATGGAGGGTTATATTGATTATATTAGTGTAGGGAGACCCAACTTGATTGTAAGTGGGACTCTTCTAGAATCTTCTAGAAGATTCTAGACTATATAAGACGGGGGAAGTGGGTTGAACATTAAGACACATTCATTGTTATTTCTTGACTATGGATATGACATGACCAGCTACTTGAAGCTCCTGATATGTTGATTTCCCTGCCATGATGGACTATAAGCCGGAATCAACTGTTCTCTCCTTAAGCATGTGGTTTTTTTTTTTTTTCCTTCTTCACTTTCAGGTAGGTAACATTTTAAATGAACATTCCTATCTTCCAATCCAAGACACAAGGAGAGTGAGACACACCCATAGTGAGCACTGTGGGAATATTCATCAAAGCCTACATACTTTAGGGAAGTGAAACATCAACAACCCAGGCTATAGCTACCAAAGCAAGCATGGAGACTTCATCGAGACTCTCAGGTCTGGTGCCCTGAAGAAGGGAGGAAATACATCTAGCACATTTCAGAGAATAAGAAGAGTGGGCTCTATCTATGGATGGTGGACTGTTTGTAAGCATCAGTATGGATAGTGGGGGGTGGGGGGGCACCTGAAGCGGTGGCTTTCTTTACTGTTATCAGAAACAGCGCACACCCTATTTTGGAAAGCGGTTGACTCTTGTAAGAAAACAATCAGTCCTTAGAAACAATGCTTGAAGAAAGTGGCGAATAGCACGAAACCTTTGTGGTAGCCATGGTGATGCTGGGATAGCAGACGATCACATGCATTTATGCAAAATCAAAATGCATGTGAGGAATCAGTAAAGTGCACACATAAAGATGATACTCTCCTCAGGTAATAGGGGTTAGATTACTAACCAACACCATTTCGTGTGCAAGGACGCACTTGCTCAGCCGACTCCCACACTGCCCCCCAACTGCATCAGGCTGGGGTGGACACCCTCTGACTTCTGGCCTCAGGCAAGCTTTGCTCGGTGGTATGACCACTGCCTCTTCTTATAAAAGCTGTCCAGGATGATTTACCTTTATAGTTATTCACAAAATGAGCTGGTCTTAAAGAAAAGCTATGGGGGGCGGGCATATCAGACCGCTAAGTGCCCTTCTCCACAACACAGGGCACTCAGAACACACACACCAGACACAAACAACACTACAGTCTCCACACAACCCCCACACCCACCCCAGAACACACACTACACTGAACCAACAGCAAACAAATCATGAACACACCAAAGTCAGTCAGCAGCCAAGGATGCCTTCCACTTAGGTAGAGAATAAATTAGTTTCAAATCTAGGATGTAGGCATTTCCATATTTATGTTTTTGTAATATAACTTGGTTTTGAGTAGCATGTTGAGAACAAAGAGTTTGAAATTTGTGTCTGGAACTGTCATGGAACACAAATTACAATTTTAGCGTGTTTAACGAAATGTTAAAGAAAACAAAACTGCTGGGCTTGA